TTTTTGTTGAATTAGTTTATTTTTTTTGTAAACTCAAAAAATTAAGCTCAGGAAGCAAGTATAACCTTTAAATTTAGGTCAAAATTTGGAATAAAATCTCAAATCATAGGAAAATATTTTTAAGTCAATTTTTTAATCAAAAACTAAAAATATAGTCTTGCAGTTTAGGTCAAAATTTAGGTCAGGAAGCAAGTGTTACATTTAAATTTAGGTCAAAATTTGGAATAAAACCCAAAATCATAGAAAATTATTTCGAAGTCAATTTATATTTTGGTCAAAATTAAAAATATAATCTTGCAGCTTAGGTCAAAATTATAGGTCAAAAAGCAAGCATAACCTTTAAATTTAGGTCAAAATTTTGAATATAACCCTAAATCAGAGAAAATTATTTTTAAGTCAATTAATATTTTGGTCAAAATTAAAAATATGATCTTGCAGTCTAGGTCAAAATTGTAGGTCAAGAAGAAAACATTACCTCTAAATTTAGGTCAACATTTGGAATATAATCTTAAAGTATATAAAATTATTTTCAAGTGTAGAAGAAACTGTACCTCAATTTTTAGGTCAATTAAGGAATATAATCATTGCAGGTCCAAATTTTAGGTCAAAAATAAAACATAACCTTTGTATTTGCATCGAAATTTTGATTATAAACTGAAAAAATAGATATTTGTTTTCCTGTGAAGAAAGAAAATTAAGAATATAATCTTGCAACACAGGTCAAAACTTTAGGTCAAGAAGAAAACATAATTTCTAAATTTAGGTCAAAATTTTGAATATAATCTTAATTTATTTTCAAGTGAAAAAGAAACCTTTCCTCAATATTTAGGTCAATTTAAGAACATTGACCTTAAATTTGACCTTTATTACAGGTCAAAATTGTCGGTCAAGAATAAAACATAACCACTGTATTCGAATAAAAATTTTGTTTAGAACCTGAAAGAATAGGGAAATTGTTTCAGAGTGATGAAGAAACATTAACCTTAATTTTTAGGTCAATTTAAGAATATAATATTGCATTATAGGTCAAAATTGTAGGTCATGAAGAAAGCAGAACCTTTCAATTTTGATCAAAATTTGAAGAATAATTTTAAAGCTTATTAAATTATTATTAAGACAAAACCTAACTTTAGGTCAACTTTTCCAGATCAATATTGTAAACCTAGAAATAAAATTTAGGTCAATATCAACAGGTCAAACGAAATTATAATCTTTAGAGTTTATGTTAAAATAACAGTTCATTATATAACAATAATGAAAGTTCAGGACAAGAATACCAGTTAAAGAAAAAATATTAGGTCAAAATTATTAAGTCAATTTAAGTCAACAATAACAGGTCAAAAAAATAACTATAGAATCTGCACCAAAATAACTTTTTAATGGAAAACGTAATCTACATTTTTCATTTAGGTCAATAATATCAAACCAAAAGAAGAAATAGTTGTCAAATTTAGGTCAATAATAATAGGTCAAAAGGAAACGTAGCTTTAAAAATTAGGTCAACAGCAACAGGTCAGACAGAAAAGGAATTTTTAATTAGAACTTTTTAATAGGAAAAATAATATTTAAAATTTGGTCAATAAAACAACATCAACAGAAAAAGTATTTTTTTCAAGTTTAGGTCAATAATAATAGGTCAAAAGAAAATATAACCTTTATATTCTAAATAAAATTAAGTTTTATGGTGTAAACTAATAAAAACAATATGGAAAATTTAGGTCAACTATTTAATATCCAGAGGTGACGACGTAGAAATAAAATTTAGGTCAATTTAGATCGAACTGAAATATAAATTTTAGAAATTAAGTCAAAATATCAGTTTATTAAATAACAAACTATTGAATTAGGTTTATAATAACAGTTTTAAAGATGTTATTAAAAATTTCAATATTTAGGTCAAATTTAGATCAAAGTTAAACATAAGTTAGAAATTAGGTCAAAATTACGGTTTATTAAATAACAATCAATTGAATTAGGTTTATAATAACAGTTTTAAAAATCTTATAAAAATTTCAATATTTAGGTCAAATTTAGGTCAAACTTAAATGTAAATTAGAAATTAGGTAAAAATAACGTTTTTTTTAAATAACAAACTATTGAATTAGGTTAATAATAACAGTTTTTAAAAAATTTACAATATTTAGGTCAAAAACAGGTCAAATGTAAGGTGACAAAAATCTTCCATTTAAATTAATTGGTGACAAGAATAATTATACAATGTGTGAAAAGGGGATTTTTCTTTTTATTGAATAAAAATTTTTAAGTAGGTTGACGTACGCGATTCTTGATTGAAACTTAACACGCGAAGTAAACAAACGGATACAAAATACTCGCGCCAAGTCCAAATTGAACAATTGCAATTAGACCAAGACCGCGTTAATAAGCGTATCTCGAAAGTATATTAAATATATAGTAACTATATATAGAAAAGATTGTACTATTACCTCACTTTGAAATCGCAGTTTCCTATTTGAAAATTAATGAATTTCATTTACAAATCGGGGTCGGTGATTAAAAAAAATTTATTTCTCAATTTTATTTTTCAATTACAACCCGATAAATTAAAAGAAATAAAATAATTATTATCCTTTTCCATAATACTGTTTTTTAAAAAGAAAAAAGAAGAACAGAAAAGATGGGAACAAAATTGCAATAATTAATATTTTCTGAATAAAAATAATTTTTTTTACCTCAAATTTTTTTTTAATTTTAGGTCAATCTGGTCCAAAAAAAACTACTTTTAAATTTAGGTCGAAAATATAATTCAAAGGGTGGAGTTAAGTTCAAATATAAAAAAAATATACACGTAAATTTTAGATCGGGAGTTAAAGGTAAAAAAAATGAAAGTAATATTAAAGTTTAGGTCAAAATTTATAGGTCAATATGCGATCATAAAATTAAAAATTGAAACAATTATCAATTAAACAGAAAACGTAGCAATTGATAAAGGACAATGGAAATATTAGGTCAAAAGGGAAAACTTATTTTTTTTAATTTTAGGTCTACAACGAAGGTCAATAATAAAATTTACTAAAAAATTTTAAGTAAACAAAATTTTTTTATTACTATACAAATAGATTTAGTAGAGAATAAGTAATATTAAATTTTAGGTCAAAAATCATATATGAATTAGAGAATGTAAATTTTCAGGTCAATAATTTCTGGTCAAAAAAATGCTACTATTAAATTTAATTAATTAGAGTTTGGTATTAAGTTCAAATATAAGAAATAAAATATACACGTAAATTTTAGGTCGATATTTAATGGTCAAAAAGAGAAAATAATTTTTAAGTTTAGGTCAAAATGTATAGGGCAATATGCGAACATAAAATTAAAAAATGGAAACAATTACCGCAGTTAGACAGTAAACGTAACAATTAATAAAGGAGAACGGAAATATTAGGTCGAAAGGGAAAACTGATTTTTTAAATTTTAGGTCTAGAATAATCAATGATAAATTTATGTCTATAACAAAATTTATAAAAAATTAGAAGTAAACACAATTTTTTTATAACTATACAAATAAGTTCAGTAAAGAATAATTAATATTAAATTTTAGGTAAGAAATCATAAATGAATAAACGAATGTAAATTTTTAGGTCTAAAATTTCAGGTCAAGAAAATGCTACTCTTAAATTTAAGTCGAAAAAATAATTTAAGAAGATGAATTAAATGATAAAATTAAATATATAAAAAATAAAATATACACGTAAATTTTAGGTCATTATTCAAAGGTCAAAAAAGGAAAATAATTTTAAGATTTAGGTCAAAAGCGAAAACTGAATTTTTTTATTTCAGGTCTACAACGATGGTCACATTTATAATAAAAATAGAAGTAAACTAAATGTTTTGTTTACTAATAAGTCAAGGAGAGAATAAATATTAAATTTTAGGTCAAAAATCATGAATAAGTGAATGTAAATCTTTAGGTCAAAAATTTTCCCTCAAGAAACCAAATTATTAAATTTAGGTTTATAAATAAATATTGAGGGGACGAAATTAGGTCTCAAATGCCCTACAATTTTTTTTTATTTAGGTCAATTTAGGTCAAAAAGAGGTTATAATTTTGAAATTTAGGACAATATTTCACGATGTGGATTAAACTCTCTATAAAAACAAGAGGTGTACAAATAATTTAAATTAAGGTCACATTTAGAAGGCGAATATTTTGATATAATTTACCAATTTTAGGTCCAATTTCAAAATTTAATTGCAATTTCAAAATTTCGGTCACTTCCTGTAGACAAATTAATCAAGCGTATTTAAAATTTTTAGCTATTTTAGGTCTACAACAAAAGACAAAAACGAGGCCTTCCTCAAAAAAATTTTATTTTAGGTCAATTTAGGTCAATTTTTCCAGTTCGAGAAGGGTATACATAATTTCTAAATTTAGGTCAATTTGCGATCGTAATTTAAAAATTTAGGTCACACTTAAAAATGTCAAATAGGGCCGTTACCCTTAGAAATTTAGGTCAAAAATTCGAAGGACGGTAATTGACCTATAAATTCTAAAAATTAAAGTCAGATATCATAGGTTCACTGGAATAATTAATTTTGAGCTTTAATTTTTTTTTTTAGTTGCAGTTCAAATTCCGAAACACAAATTTTGGTAATTTTAGGTCAAAACTGGAGGTCAAAACGAAAAAAAAGGTTTAAAATTAACACTAAAATTTATAAATAAAATAATATTCACATAGGTATATAATAAATATTAAATTTCCCATATATTCCAGATCTAAATTTGTGAAAATTAAATAAAATTTTTTTTTATTCCATTTTTCCAAATTCAATTTATTTCTAGTTAAAAAGTTATTCAATTATTTTTCGAAAAAAAAAACATTTTGACATCGTCCGCATGTGTAAGTAATTAATAAAAAGAAAAAAGGAGCGAGCGCAACAGAGAGAGAGAGAGAGAGAGAGAGAGAGAGAGAGAGAGAGAGAGAGAGAGAGAGAGAGAGAGAGAGAGAGAGAGAGAGAGAGAGAGAGAGAGAGAGACTCACCGATGACATTTTTGTCGTTGTCGTTCGTGAACCCATAAAGTATCACCCAATGTGTGCGTTCCACTGCTCTGCGCACCTCCCATGATCAATATATAGTCCGATCTAAAATTAATAAAAAAAAATTTTTTAATCATAAAATAATGTGATTTTTATTAATTTTGAAAATTTTTGAATTTCTTTTTTCTTAATTTTATCTTAAAATGATAAATTTTACATTTTATTTTTTGAAAATATATTTTTAAAGTATTCTGCAATTGATTTTATGAATTTTAATATCATCCGTCGATAATGTAGAAAAAAAGACTATCAAGGGGGAATCTAGTATTTAGTTTCTAAAGTTGACGCCAGGTGCGATGTCGAAAATTCTCCCACTAGTAAACAGTGTTGTTCAAGGCTATATAAACCCAAGTCCACTGACTGATCCTCATGTTTGCAAGAACCAAAAGTAATTCTTACGTTAAGTGTTTCGAGAAAGGATCTTAGCCTATTGGTTTTGATCCAACCAATGAATGTAAACATAGAATATTTATTTTTTCCAGGGGTTATATATTATATTATAAAATATAATATAATATAATATTATATTATATTATATAATATTATATTATATTATATTATATTATATTATATTATATTATATTATATTATATTATATTATATTATATTATATTATATTATATTATATTATATTATATTATATTATATTATATTATATTATATTATATTATATTATATTATATTATATTATATTATATTATATTATATTATATTATATTATATTATATTATATTATATTATATTATATTATATTATATTATGAATTTAATTTGACTATTTAATTAATACTAATTAATTATTTATATTTATAAAATTAATAAATTCTTATTGTTATAAAACTTTATAATATATATAAATTTTTTTCTCTTAATTTATGATATACAAAACGTATTTATTATAGTTTAATAACAAAAAGTAATTTTCGATTTTCATTGTTTTCGATTAAAGAAATGTGTAGTATTTTTTTATTGCTATTTGGTTTTAAAAATTTTATTGTGGTTTCTATGGTTTTCAATTAAAATGAAATTTTTATTTAAAAAGTGATTTATTTCTAGCGAAAAAAATTATTTTTCCACATTAAAAAAAGTCTTTTAGTTTCAAAATAAAAAAAATTTTTTTGTACAAATAACAAATTGTCTCTTTCTGTTTATTTTATTTATAGAAACTAAACTCACTATTTTTTTTTATTATTTATAATTCTCATTTATTATTTCTCAAAAATATCAGAAATAATTTATTCTCATAATTAGAATTATTGTTTATTAATTCTTTATTAATTAGAATTATTTTTTCGCAATTATTTATTTTTTCTTTATTTATTATTTTAATTAAATATTTTTCACTATATTATATTAAAACAGTTTTTTTACACTCACGTGATTAAAAGATTTCACTTTGTTTCAAATTATGAAAAAAATAATAATACTTTCTAACAATGGAAAAATTACTTTTACGAAAATTTTCTCTCTATTAAAAAAAACTCTAAGTTTTCTTTTTCAAAGAGAAAAAAATTGTCTGGAAAAATAAATTTTTTTATAAAACTTACTTTTTAAAATTAAACACACTCACACACACACACACACTTTAAAAACTTTTCTAATTAAAAAATTAAATTTTATCGAAAGTAATTAATTATATTTTTATCTTAGATAAAATGAGAAAAATATTTTTTTATAAAGTTGAAAATAATAAAATATTCAAGATGAAAAATTTTTTAAAAAACTGAAAAAAAAATGAAAATATATTTTTTATAAAAATTTTTGTTTTTAAAAAATTAAAAAAAATTTCCAAATAAAAGCGAGAGGAAATATTTTTTGAAAATTTATTTTCAACTTTAGAGAAAAAATATTTTTTTTTTTCTAAAAACAAAAAATTAACACCTACTGAGGAAATAATCCCCTTGACACTTGTTACCGGAACATGATGATTAAAAAAGAAAATAAAAATAAAAACACCCCTTAAATATTAGGAGGAGCACTTTCGAAATGAAAAAAAAAAAATAATTTTTTAAAGAACTCTATTTTCTTTTTTCTTTTTTTGTTTCTATTTTTTTTTTTTTTAAGTGAAAAAAAAAATAATGTGCACGATTCTTATTAATTGAACAAGATCTCACGTTATACTGATGAATCTGTGAAAAGTTTTCACGAGGAGGGTTACGGAGTAGAGAAGGTGTTGGTGGAGAATGTGTGCGTATTATTGAGGAATTATTCATACTGCCACTTCCATACAATAAGCACACGTATATACAACAAAAAAAAATTTTAAACTGAAAAAAATTAATATATTAATTTTTGTTTTTTTATATTTGCTTTTTGGTTTTTTATATTTGGTTTACTTAATATACATAATTTTAATTTATTTTCTTCAAATGATATTTAGTTTTATTATAATATAATTGGCTTAATTAGATATATTTGGTATTTTTCAGTCTGTCAAATTTTTTAATAGTTGGTTTATTTATATTTGATATTTATTTTTTTGGTTGAATATTGAATTTTTATTTATGTATTTGGTTTATTAAAGAATATTTGGTTTCTTTACATTTGGTTTTTAATAGTATTTTTATTTATATTTGGTTTTCATATTTTATATTTGGTTTATTTATTCTTTTTTAGGTCTTTTTTACATATTTGTATTAAATAATATATTTGGTTAATTTATTTATTGCATTTTGTTTATTTTTATATGGTTTTTATTGTAATTTTTTTTATATTTATCTTTATTTTATTTGGTTTACATACTGATTTGTTTTTTTATAATATTTGGCTTTTATATAATTCCTATAATATCTTAAAATTTTTTTTAAGTTTGATTTATTTATATTTGGTTAATCTTTTTACGTTTTTGTTTATTTGCTTTATCTACTTTTGATTTTTTTAATAATTGAACTATTTATATATTTGCTTTATCTACTTTTGAATTTTTAAATAATTGAATTATTTATATATTTGGCTTCAATTTATTTATGGTTTAATTATTATAATTTGCCTCTTTTTCTATATCGTACAGATTTTAATTGTTGGTATTAATGAAATATAAATAAATTGAAATGCATTAAAATTGAATTAAAATTTATTTTTGAATCTGAATTGAAATTCAATTGAAACTGATTTTAAATTGATTTGAAACAAAATTTGAAGCTGATATGAAATTGAATTGATACTGAATTGAAATTGAATTGAAACTGATTTGAAATTGTATTGAAATTGAATTAAAACTCAACTGAAATTTAATTAAATTTGAATTGAAATTAACTTAGAATTGAATTATATTGAAACTTATTTGAAATTTAATTGAAATTAAATTAAAGCTGAATTGAAATTGAAATTAAATTGAAATTGAATTTAAATAGAATTGAAATTAAATTGAATTTGAATTGAAATAGAATTAAAATTTAATTCAAACTGAATTGAAATTGAATTAAAATGAAATTGAATTAAAATTAAATTTAAATTAAATACAAACTGAATTCAAATTGGATTAAAATTGAATTAAAATTAATTTGAAACTGATTTTAAATTGTATAAAAATTGAATATTGTTATTGTACAAAAATTGAATTAAAATTGTAATGAAATTGAATTGAAATTGAACTGATATTGAATTGAAATTGAATTGAAACTGATTTAAAATTTTCATTGAAATTGAATTGAAATTGAATGAAAACTGATTTGAATCTAATTTATAATTTCATTGATATTGAATTGAAATTGAATTGAAACTGATTTGAAATTGTATTAAAATTGAATTAAAACTGAACTGAAATTGAATTGGAATTGAATTGAAATTAAATTAAAAGTGAATTGAAACTGATTTGAAATTTAATTGAAATTGACTTAAAACTGAACTGCAATTGATTTGAAATTGAATTGAAATTAAATTGAAACTAATTTAAAATTGAATTGTAACTGAATTAAAATTAAAATTAAATTGAATTGAAACTGATTTGAATTTAAAATTAAATTGAATTAAAACTGAACTTAAATTGAATTAAAATGAAATTGAAATTGAACTGAAATTGAATTGAATTTAAATTGAAACTGAATTCAATTTGGATTGAAAATCAATTGAAATTGTATTAAAATTGAATTGAAATTGAATTAAAATTTAATTTAAATTGTATTAAAATTTAATTGAAATTGAATTAAAATTCAATTGAAACTGAATTCAAATTGGATTGAAATACAATTGAAATTAAATTGAAAATGAATTGAAACTGAAATGGAATTGAAATCGAATTGAAATTAAATTAAAATTTAATTGAAATTAAATTCAATTTGAATTAAAATTTAATTGAAATTAAATTCAAATGAAATTAAATTGAATTGAAATTGTATTAAAATTGAATTGAAATTGAATTAAAATTCAATTGAAATAGAATTGAAATTCAATTGAAAATGAATTGAAACTGAAATTGAATTGAAATTAAATTGAAATCGAATTGAAATTAAATTAAAATTTAATTGAAATTAAATTCAATTCAAATTAAAATTTAATTGAAATTAAATTCAAATTGAATTCAAATGAAATTAAATTGAATTGAAATTGTATTAAAATTGAATTGAAATTGAATTAAAATTCAATTGAAATAGAATTGAAATTCAATTGAAAATGAATTGAAACTGAAATTGAATTGAAATTAAATTGAAATCGAATTGAAATTAAATTAAAATTTAATTGAAATTAAATTCAATTCAAATTAAAATTTAATTGAAATTAAATTCAAATTGAATTCAAATGAAATTAAATTGAATTGAAATTGTATTAAAATTGAATTGAAATTGAATTAAAATTCAATTGAAATAGAATTGAAATTCAATTGAAAATGAATTGAAACTGAAATTAAATTGAAATTGAATTGAAATTAAATTAAAATTTAATTGAAATTAAATTCAAATTGAATTCAAATGAAATTAAATTTGAATTGAAATTATACTAAAATTGAATTCAAATTGAATTAAAATTCAATTGAAACTGAATTCAAATTGGATTGAAATAGAATTGAAATTAAATTGAAAATGAATTAAAACTGAAATTGAATTGAACTTATATTGAAATCGAATTGAAATTAAATTAAAATTGAATTGAAATTAAATTAAAGTTTAATTGAAATGAAATTTAATTTGAATTAAATTTGAATTGAAATTAAATTATATTTGAATTGAAATGAAATTAAATTTGAATTAAAATTGAAAAAAGAATTAAATAAAAACAATGCCAATAAAATTGAAACCATGCAAAACTGTTTGTTTACGCTCAAGATTTTTTTTTCACGGCGGCCTTTCAATGAAAATTTATTCAAGTCGAACAAATAAAATTTAAATACCAGAAGAAATAGTATCGCATACTCTTGGGCCCATTGCGCAAGAAATGAACGACTGTTGCCTGCCTCCATTAACCATAAATCCTTCCGGTTTTTACATCCCATCATTTCGCATCGTCGATCATTGGATTACGACTGACAAATTTCAATTTACAACATTGCATAAAATTTCCAAATTTCACACCTTATTTTCCCAATGAAAATACTTTTTCTCAAATAAGTATGATTAAAAAATAATAATAAAAAAATAATTAGAAAAAAATAAAAACAAACTTTAAAAAAAGTTTGTTTGCAAAAAAAGAATTTTTTTTTTTTTTTTTTGACAAAATTTGTAAAATTGTTGACAATAAATAATTGATGAAACATGAGCACCTTTACAATAATTTATAAGACACATTGTCGAATTATTATCGTGCTTTGTTCCGTCCTGCTTACTATCTTACATTTCGACTCATTTTCGCTCTCCACACTCTGATACCTTCATCTCATATCAACGGCTCTTAACCAGGTTATGGCCTAGCTCTCGATAGCGAAGCGATTATCACGCGAGAATTTTCTTGGAAAATCGTCACAACATTATTTTCATTGTTTTGATGTGTACATCGAGAAAATGTGAAACCAAAACGTCAAAAAAAAAAAACAAACAAACGAACATATTGAATTTTCTCACGCGAGAATTCAATAATAATTAATTAGACGCTTATTTCATTGATTTATAGTAACATTTTCAATATTATAGTTTAAGCAATTTTTTTTTTGCATTTTTTGAAAAATACTGTTTTTTGGTTACTTTTGGTGATAATAATAAATTTTTGGTTCTTATTGGAAATATAATTTTTCCAGTAAATTAAAATGCATAAATGTTTGTAATTTTATTGATAATAATTTTGGGTTTGGAAACCAATTATATTTACCTATTAGGTTCAGTAATATTTGGTTTAATAATCAATATATTTGGTTTAATACTTGAAATATTTGTTATAATAATCAAAATATTTGGTTCAGTAATTAATATATTTGGTTCGTTAATTAATATATTTGGTTCAGTATTTTATACATTTGGTTAAATAATCATTATGTTTGGTTCAGTATTAATTATATTTGGTTTAATAATCTAAATATTTGGATTAGTAATTAATATATTTGGTTTAACATTGATTAGTTCCAAAAGAAATATATTTGGTTTACAAAATATTATATTTGGTTCAGTAATTAATATATTTGGTTTAATATTATTGATTCGTTCGAAAATAAATATATTTGGTTTACAAAATATTATATTTGGTTCAGTAATTAGTATATTTAGTTTGGTAATTAATATATTTGGTTCGATAATTAATATATTTGGTTCGATAATTAATATATTTGGTTTAAGAATCATTTAATTTAGTAACCAATGTGTTAGGTTCAGTAATTCTAATTAATATACTGGTTTAATAATTAAAATATTTGGTTCAGTTATTAATATATTTGGTTTAATAATATAAATATTTGGTATAGTAATTAATATATTTGGTTCGATAATTAATATATTTGGCTCAGTTATCAATATATTTGGTTAGATAATCTAAATATTTTGTTTAATAATCATTATATTTCGTTTAATAATAAATATATTTGGTTAAGTAACCAATATAATTGGTTCAAAAAGAAATATATTTGGTTTACAAAATATTATATTTGGTTTTGAATCTTAAAAGTGGTTGAATCCAGAGTATATTTTGTATGACTTTATATATTTGGTTCACTAAAAGCAATATATTTGGTTTAGTCAAGATTATATTTTGCTGACAGAATATATTTGGTTCAATAATTAATATATTTGCTTCAGTAATTTATACATTTGGTTAAATAATCATTATATTTGGTTCAGAAATTAATATATTTGGTTTGGTTATTAATATATTTGGTTCGGTAATTAATATATTTGGTTCGATAATTAATATATTTGGTTTAAAAATCATTTGATTTAGTAACAAATATGTTAGGTTCAGTAATTAATATACTTGGCGTAATAATTAAAATATTTGGCCCAGTAATTAATATATTTGGTTTAAAAATCAAAATATTTGGTTTAGTTATTAATATATTTGGTTTAATAATCTAAATATTTTGTTTAGTAATTAATATATTTGGTATTTACAAAAAATATTTTTTTCATAAACCAATATATTTGGTTTCTTTATCAAATACATTTGGATTCATTAACCAATATATTTGGTTTTGTAGACAAATACATTTGGTCTTGTTACCCATTATATTTGGTTTCTTTATCCAATATATTAGGATTCATTAACCAATATATGTATTTGGTTTTGTTAACCAATGCATTTGGGTTCATTAACCAATATATTTGGCTTTGTTATCCAAAATATTTGTTTTGAAGACCAATATATTTGGTTTAGTTACATATTATATTTGGTTTTATCAACTAATATATTTTCATAGACCAATATATTTGGTTTCATTACCAATTACATTTTGTTTTGTTATCCAATTCCAATATATTAGGTTTCATTAACCATTATATTTGGTTTTTTAAACCAATACATTTGATTTCGTTAATCATAGGTATATTTAAATCTATAATTTGTTAAAAACCAAAATAAATCGCTCAATGAACTAAAATTTAAATAATTAATATAATTTTTAAAATAAATAAATAAAAATTTGTTTCCTTTTTTTGCAGCCGAAGTTGTAGTCGAATATCATAGAGGTCTTCCCAGAATTAAAGTTCCATTACCATCGAGAAGGGAAAGTTGTTTTTTCACCCTAAAACCAATCACACACACTGTCGGCGATTTTCTCGAAATGCTAAAATGCGAGGATCGAGGTATCGATAGAGCATCAATTACCACCATTGGTAAGAAAAAAAAATTCTAACAATTTTCTTGCAAAAAGAAAAAATAGACAAAAAAATTATAATTAAAAAAAAGAAAAAATAATTATTTAAAAAAAGGAGAAACAATTTTTTAAAAAATGGAATTATTGTATAATACAAATTTTTTAAAATAAAAAAAAATTATTAAAAAAAATTATTAAACAAGAAAAAAATTATTTAAAAAAAATATTTTTAAAAATTTAAATAGACTTTAAGATTTTTTCACATATTCCTACTGTCAAAAAAAAAATATATTTCATTTTTTTTCACAGACGGTACAAGAATAGGTTTCAGTAATACAATCGAATCATTAATGGAGGAGGATTTTAAATTAATTATTAACGATAATGTTTACACAGTAGCACCACCGGTTCATCAATTAAAACCAACGGCAAGTTTACTTTCGATACAAAAAATAATAAAATATAAAATAAAAAAATGATATTTCGCAATAATAATAAGTTATAATTAAATAATTTGCATAAATAATTAAATAATTCAATTAATTATTTATATAATTAATTATTTAATTAATTATTTATTTAATTAATTATTGAATGAATTATTTATTTCATTAATTATTAAATTAATTCTTTATTCAATTAATTATTTAATTATTTATTTACTTAATTAAATATTTAATTAATTATTTTATTAATTTGTATAATTAACTAATTTTCATAATTAATTAATTACGATATTAATTACAAAAATTAATTGTAATAATTATATTAGTAATTAATTACTTTTTAGTTTTAATTTAATTATTTTTTAAAATTTTATATTAATTTAAATTAATTACAATTTACAACTAATTAAAATTCATAAAGATGGCGAATTTAAACGAAACAATAATTTTTTAGGAGGGAATTCAACAATTATCTGATATTCAGACAATGATAACGCAATTGTACGATACACTTCACGTTCGAGAGCATCATGCAGACATGGAGAAGCGAGTTTTAGCTCAATTGGAAGTTGTTAGATTAGAATTAGAACCTTTAGAACAGGTGAGGTTATTAATAACTATAATTCACTTTATTTGTAGAATTTAGTCGAAATAAATATATAATTTTTGAAAGTTTTTCGAAAAAACCTTTTTTTTTAATTTCCAATTGAAAACTATTCTTGCCATCGAGTAGAATCAATTTATCAAAGAATTTTCAAAAAATAGTTAACTATACAATTTTTATTGAGGAAAAAAGTCGCGAAGTGGAGAAAACGGCGTAATTTTGTGAAATTTTTTCCAAAAATAGGCTTTTAAAAAAAAAATTCCAATTGGAAACTATTCTTGCCATCGAGTAGAATCAATTTATCAAAGAATTGTCAAAAAATAGTTAAATCTACAATTTTTATTAAAGAAAAAAGTCGCGAAGTGGAGAAAGCGGCGGCCATTTTATTCTCTCCACCTCGACACTTTTTTTCTCTGTAAAAATTGACAGTGTGAATGGAAAATTTTTTTATTTTGACAAATATCTTCTACTCAATGGCAAGAATTTATTACTACTAAAAAAGATATATAATAAAAAAAAATATTTGAATTTTTCCAAAATAAAAAATTTTTCACGAAATAAAAAAATTAAAATTTAGCTAGATGAATATTTTCATTTTTGTTTTTGTTTTTGAAGCAAAAATTGGAAATTGAAATGGCGGCAGCGAGAAGGGCAAATTTATCAGCGTGGGCTGGTTTGGTAATGATGTCGGTACAATTTGGAATTTTGGCACGACTAACATGGTGGGAATACTCATGGGATATTATGGAGCCTGTTACATATTTTGTCACGTACGGCACTGCGATGCTTTGTTACGTTTATTTTCTCCTAACAAGACAAGTAAGTTTATCAATTTCATTTCTTCACCGACACCATTTCCCATGAGAGAATATAGCAAAATTTATTGTACTCCATATAATGGTTTCACCACAAAATTCTCCAGTTTCGTTGGTACTTTTTTTGCAAGCAGCTATTTTTTTATTTTCTTTCTATTTTTTTGTTTTTTTTTTATTATTTTCTTTTAATTTAAAAAAAATTTTTTTTTTAATTTCCTTTTGGCTCATTGTGGTTTTTTATTTTTATATTATTTGTTTATTATTATTTATTTTCAATTTTATTTATGAAATAAATAAATTTATTATTTTCATTTTCATATTTATTATTTATTTTTTTTTTATTTTTATTACCACTTTTTCCATTTTTGTAATTTTTAAACTCATTTTTTTAACAATATTCTTTGACTATGTTATAAACAATTTTATAAACAAATTAAAAATTAACAACAATATAAGTTTAAATGCACTTTCTTTATCCACTGACTATTTCTGTACTTCTAATAAATTTTTTTGAGTAAAATTATTCAAAAAAAATTATTTAAACAATTTTATGAACAATTTTTATAAACAAATAAAAGATAAAAAAAAATAAAAGATGTATTTTCTCACCTTATTTGTTTACCCACGAAATTAAAGAATCTTGAAACTTAAATTTATCATTTAATAGTTTTCGATAAAGTTATAAACAAATTGTTATAAACAAATTACAGATTAACAACAATTAAAGGTGTAAATTGTCGTTTTTCTTATTTTAAAAACTATTATGTAGAAAAAAACGATACTTGATATCTTTAATTGTTGTTAATATTTATTTTGTTTATAACAATTGTTTAAATTTATTGAAAAATATTAAAAAGTAAATTTAAGTTTCAATATTTTTTAACTGTATGTAAATAAAATGGTTTGATGAAAATATATCTTTTTACCTTCAATTATTGCTAATTCGAAATTTGTTTATAAGAATTGTTTATGAAATTTTATAAATTTTGTCAAAAAATAAATAAAAAATTGAAATAAAAATTTTTTTTTAGGAATACATGTTGCCGGACGCGTTACATCGTCAACTACTCGTTGGCTTTCACAAAAAGGCGAAAAAAATTGGATTCGATTTGGCGCGCTACAATGTATTAAAGGACCAAGCCTACGAGCTGGAGACAACATTAAAAATAATACGCGGCCCTCTTTGGGAGAAGAAGCATTTAATTGAAAAGCGCGAAGAGAGACGTTCAAGTTCAAGTTCAAGTTCGAGTTCAAGTTCAAGATCGCGCTCACGAAGTGACTCACGTAGTCCAAGTCCTAGTCCAAAAAAAGAACCAAAAGAACCAAAAGAAAAAAATTCTGTTCCCACAAATCACAGATAATTAGATAATTTTCAAAAAAAAAAAAAAAAAAAAATGTTCTGTACTTATTTCAATTTTATGTGAAAAAAATTTACAATTCCTAAATATTCGGAAAATTAGTTTGATTCAATATTCTCCTTTTTTGGTTTAAGTTTGGTTTTGATTTAGTATTTTCTACAGTATTTTGCCTCAAAAGAAAAATTTCAGACTATACGCAATATTCAGGTTTCAATTTATTTTTTCTTCAAACTCCTATAAATTTTTCAAACCAAAAATCGATTTTTAAAATAAAATTTTTTTTTTTGGTTTAACTTTGGTTTCGATTTTAAAGAGTTTTTGATAATTAAATTGAATTTTTTAAACCAAAAACTGAATTTGGTTTTAATTCCTACAATTTTTGGTTCAACTTTGGTTTAGATTTAATTTTTTTTCAAACTCGAATGAATTTTTCAAACCAAAAATCGATTTCAAAATTAAAAATTTGTTTTGGTTGAACTTTGGTTTCGGTTTTCAAGAGTTTTCGAGAATTAAATTGAATTTTCTAAACCAAAAATTGAATTTGGTTTCAATTCCTACAATTTTTGGTTCAACTTTGGTTTCGATTGAAGAGTTTTCGAGAATTAAATTCAATTTTCTAAATCAAAAATAGAATTTGATTTCAATTTTTGGTTCAGCTTTGGTTTCGGTTTTCAAGAGTTTTTAAAAATTAAATTAAATTTTCCAAACCAAATATTGAATTTCGTTTCAATTCCTACAATTTTTGGTTCAACTTTGGTTTTGATTTAATTTTTTTTCAAACCCGAATGAATTTTCTAAACCAAAAATCGATTTCAAAATTAAAATTTTCATTTTTGGTTCAACTTTGGTTTCAATTGAAGATTTTTCGAGAATTAAATTCAATTTTCTAAAACAAAAATTGATCCTGGTTTCAATTTCTTCAATTTTTGGTTTAACTTTGGTTTGAATTTAATTTTTTTTCAAACTCGAATGAATTTTTCAAACCAAAAATCGATTTCAAAATTAAAAATTTGTTTTGGTTGAACTTTGGTTTCGGTTTTCAAGAGTTTTCGAGAATTAAATTGAATTTTCTAAACCAAAAATTGAATTTGGTTTCAATTCCTACAATTTTTGGTTCAACTTTGGTTCAGATTTTAGAATTTTCACTGATTTTTAATTCTTAAAAATTTGATTTTATTTAAATTCTCTGCAACTTGAATAAAAAATTTGCTAAATTAAACTTTTTGAAACCAAAAAAGAGAATCATTGTTTCAATTAAAATTTTCTCATTAAATTCGCTTTTAGGAATTGTAAATTTTCGACTAATTTTGTTAAAAATAATGTTTTTTTAAGTGACCAAGAAAAACGGAAAAAAGTCAAAATCTTTTTGACAAGAATGACAGAAATAAATACAAAATAGATAAAAAAAAACAAATTGATCGAAAGTGATAATATCGATCATTTAACTGACATTAATTTCAATTTCTTTTGATTTCGAAATTATTTTATATAAACATTTTTCTCAATTTGAAAATGAAAGAAAATAAAATTGTCCAATTAAATTTATTAATTAAGTTCTCTCAACTATTATGTGATGTTATTTATTTTTTCCTGATTATTATTTTATTATTATTATTATTATTATTATTATAAACAATAAAATTATTTTTTCTCTTTTTCCCGTATAAAAGCAACGTCTTCATTTTAATAAATTAATTTTTTTTCCTTTTAAAAGACTATTTCAAAGAAAAAAAAAACTAGAACAAGAAAAAAAATTAAATAGGTTCGCGGAACAAAAAATGGAAAAAAATTTTCTTCGTAGAAAATATAATTAAAAAAATTAGTAGCCTAAAATAATAATTGGAAGAAAAGAAAAAAAACCCCGGAAAAAAATATTTAAAAACAAAATCTTTTGCAAAAATTCTATTCACACCTCGCTTTTACAAATTTCCAAAAAAAAATAAATAAATAAAAACTTTCTCTATCCGTCCGAAAAAAATAGCAAATGCGCATTTTCACACTTAAATATTACGTAGCAAGAAAAAAAAAACTTTTCATGTACATACTCTAAATAATAAATTTTAGTGACAAAATATTCAGAAAAAACTATAACAAAAATCGATATTTTATCGATTATTTAATTTCGATATAAATCGATTATTTAATATCGATATAAATCGATTTTTTCAAAAATAAATCTATTTATTTTCAATATAAATCGATACAGTTTCGATGTAAATCGATATTTAATTTTAATATAAATCGATATATATTTTCGATATAAATCGTTTATTTAGTTTCGATATAAATTGTTTATTTAGTTTCGATATAAATCGATTATTCAGTTTCGATATAAGTCAATTATTTAGTATTGATAAAAATCGATAAAGTTTTTAAATAAATCAATTCAGTTTCGATATAAATCGATTTAGTTGATATAAATCAATAAAGTTTCAAAATAAATCGATTTATATCGAAACTGAATATTGATTTAGTTTTGATATAAATCGATTTAGATTCGATATAAATCGATATTTAGTTTCGATATAAATGGATTATTTAGTATTGATTATGTTCGATGATTTATTATCGATAAATTTCGATATTTTGTGTGTTTTTGTAATGATAATTTATTGTCACTAGATAAAAATTATTTTTCATTGAAATCAAAGATGTAGAAAATTGTAAAAAAAAAAAATATCATATCGACAAATTTTTGAAAATTCCATTTTCAAATATTAATAAAAATAAAACAAAACTTGCCTCTCAATCTAGTTATCTAAAAAAAAATGGCTTTTAAAAAAACCTTTTTGAGACTTAGACATTTTTCAACGTTAAAAAAAATACACACACAACACACATTATAGATATATATCTATACACTCGATTTAAAAAAATAGAAAATTAGAAAAAAAAATTTAATGAAATTTAGACAGAAAAAAAGCCACTTTGCACTTAATAGAAATTAAAAAATGAATTTAGATAAAATTAAAAAATTGTTTCGAAAACTTTAAGGTAAAAAAGAAAAATCTTTAAAAATTCGCTTCGCTTTAAAAAAAAATTTCTATAGGCAAAATTTTCATATCTTTCTCTATTTCTCTCTTTCTCTCTCATTCTCTCTTTTTCTTTGATTTTGTCTTCCCTGTATTTTTAATAAATTATATATCGAGAGATAAAGAAGAAAAAATTTGTTCAAGGCACAAAATATTCTATTTATGTATAAAAATTATTTTCTTCATAATTGACAATATTCCCATTTTATTTGTATTTTTTTTTAAATATTCCAGGAATTTTGGAAAAATTTATCAAATTTTTTTTTTATTATAATTTCTATTTCTAAAAAAAATTAATGGTAAATTTCAGAAAAATATTCTTAGTATTTCCATTTGTAAATATTTTTTGGAATATTTTCACAAGAATATGTTTCTAAATATTTTTTTATTAATATTTTACTGGAATATTTTTGTTTAAATTTTTCTCAAAATATTTATTCGCCAAGGAATAAATATATTGTCAATATGGAATATTCTTCCGAAATATTCCAAGAAATATTTCTACTGTTTTATTTTCTACGTGGAATATTTTCCAAGAATATTTTGATAAATATTTTTATCTACTGATATGCGATAAATATTCCAAGGAATATTTTGTCTACGTGGAATATTTTTCAAGAATATTTTAACGAATATTTTAATTAATATTTTAATTAATATTTTAATTAATATTTAAATTAATATTTTAATAAAAATTTTAATTAAAATATTTTAATTGATATTTTTATTAATATTTCAATAGTGTAATATTTGTCAGAAATATATCAAGAAATATTCTGTCCATGTGGAATATTTTCCAAGAATATTGTAAGGAATATTTGTACTGATATTCCAGGAATATTCCAAGAAATAATTATTGTCTTCGTGGAATATTTTCAAGGAATATTTTAACGAATATTTTAAAGTATAATATTTTATAATATTCCAAAGAATATTCTATTTATGTGGAAATATTTTCCAAAGAATATTTCTCCTCTAATTTTTTCCACAATATTTACGAGTGAATAAATATTTTTTGCTTCTTTAAATTTTTTCTTTAATAATAAATTTTTTTTTAATTTAAAAAAAAATTTACTATTAAAGAAAATTATTTTTAATAATAAAATATTTTGTGCTATTTTAACAAAATAAAGTGTGAAAACATTTTTTGAAAGAAGAAAAATTCAAACTAGTGCCAATTTGTAAAGTTGTTTTTTAATGGAATAAAAGAATGAAGAAAAAAAAACATTTTTTCAATATATATTTGTCATTATTCTACAACAAAAGAAAAATTTAAAACAAAGCGTGAGAGTTTAAAAACAAAAATTGCTGAAAGTATAAAAAGTGACGTTGAATAAAATTCTGAAATGACTGTACAGCTTCCAAAATTAATGTTCTGTAACATTTATAAATATATACATAAATCATGAATATTATAAATATATATATAAATTATATATTATTATTATTATATTAAAATAAAGAAAAATATTCTTCCCGTGATTTTTTAATAAAAAAAAACCCCGAGCGATTTTTGTAAATAAATATATTATAAATATAAATATATTATAATATAGATTTATTAAATTAATATAGAAATATTGTACACACATTATTTTCGGAATCATCTTGTCGTTACGCCGTTTATCTCTGAGCTTAATATATTATAATATTATGTCGTTTAATATTGTATTAACTAAAAATAATAGTGGTAATAATAATAATATTGCAAAAATAAAAATAAAAATGAAAATCAAATTAAAAATAAAAATGAAATTAAAAATAAAAATGAAAATGAAAATGAAATTAAAAATAAAAATAAAAATGAAAATAAAAATGAAAATGAAAATAAAAATGAAAATGAAAATGAAAATGAAAATGAAAATGAAAATGAAAATGAAAATGAAAATGAAAATGAAAATGAAAATGAAAATGAAAATGAAAATGAAAATGAAAATGAAAATGAAAATGAAAATGAAAATGAAAATAAATGTAAAAATAAAAATTAAATAATAATAATAAAAAATAATAACGTAACGAATTATTACTTTAACGTTTGTTATATTTACAATTTATTATTATTACCCACTATTAGTATAAGTAATGCCTAAAATATTTCCAATTTTTCAAAAATAAGGTGTATACGACTATGTTCGACTTAATCGAAAATTTCCAAATTTCTTGAAAGCAAAAAAAATATTTGCGTGGAATATTTTCATACAAGAATTTTTTTGTTGTGAAATATTCCTAAAATATATTGTAAAGGAATATTTATTCATGGAATATTTTTTGAAATTATTACCTTAATAATTTAAGTACCTAATATTTATGTAATTTTTATAAGACATTCCTAAATTCTCTCTAAGGAATATTTTCCTAATATTCCTCTGAAATATTCCATCGATATTATAATATTTAATGATTTTGAAATATTTATTAATTATAATAAATAATATTTAATATTTTTAATATTTTTTAAACATATTTTTGGAGTATTTTTGGAATATTGTGGACTGTTATGGAATATTTTTTAATATTGTGGAATGTTCTGGAATATTATGAAATATTTTAGAATATTTATTAATAATAATAATATTTAATATTTTTAATATTTTTAAAAAACATTTTTGGAGTATTTTTGGAATATTGTGGAATATTATAGAATATTATGAAATATTATGGAATATTATGGAATATTACAAAATATCATGAAAAATTGAGAGAAATAAAATAAATAAAAATAGAATTCCAAAAAAATAAAAAGAGTACCTAAATATTCTTTTTTTCGCGATCACTTTGGAAATGTACGATTTTGTCGAACAATATAGTAATTACTGTTAAAAAATTAATTGCAATTGAAAAAAAAATTAAAAAAAAAGAAACTTGACATCGAATCAAAAAAAAAACAAGATTCGAAAAACTAGTCATATTAAAAAAAAGAAATGAAAATAATATCGCTATTAAAAAAAAAATTTGCTCATTTATCTTAATAATTATATTAATAAAATTATGTAAAGTGTGTGAAAAATTGTTTGTTATTTCGAATGTTTGGGGATATCTGAATAAATAGTAATAATTATAATAATAAAAATAATAATATTAATAAGTTTAATTATTAATAACATAATATTCAGTCCTATTTTGTGTGAAGAAAAAAAAAGAAATAGTACTAAAAATAATTTATTTTCAAACGGAATTATTCGCCAATTAAAAATGACAAAAACATTTTTTTTCTTTGAATTTTAAGACAAAAAAAAGAAAATTGAAAAAAATTGAAAAAAACATTTTTTTAATCAAAAATAATTTTTTTTTGTTTTAATAATTTATCTCCTTGTTTCATTTCTTTTCTTTTTGAAAAAAGAAAAAAAAAACTTTGAAAAAATGAATGGTTTGTATAAATTTGACTTTTTTTGCTTTTCTGGATATATTTTTTTTAATAAAACAGAAACAAACGACTTTTACAATCACAATGTTGTTGTTGGCTCATTTGTCTCAGGATCAATTGTAGTTTGTCCATTTTCATTTTTTTCCAGTGTCTCCCCGTATTCAGTTATTTTTACTTCGGGTATTTGTTGTTGTTGCTGTTGTTGTTGTTCAGCCTCAGGATTTTTTGTTCTTTTTCCAAAAACCATTTTTTCCAAAATTAAAATTGGCGACTCAAAAATTACACAGAAAACAAATGACAATGTTAAGCAGAAAAATAAATCTCCCAAAAATGACTGAAACTGAAAAAAAAACTTTTTCATTTTACACAATTTTTTCAAATTAAAAACTAAATATAATTTTTTTTCGACTGTAAAACTAGAATAAAATAAAATTTAAAAAAAAATTATAAACATAATAACACAATTTAAAAAATATTTATTTTTGCAAATTAAAAACTAATATAATTTTTTTTTCGCCGTGAAACAAAAATATAAAAAATTTTTTTTTTTAAATTCTATTAACATGAACATAATAACAAAATTTAAAAAATATTTATTTTTATTTAAATCTAATATAATTTTTGTTCCACTGTAAAACTAGAATAGAATAAAAATTTAAAGAAAAGATAAAAAAAAATTTTTTTTTTTTGAAACAATAAATTAATAATTAATTAACAAATTGATTAATTATCAACAATAGAATAATTAATTATAACTCACGATTCCAAAATCTGAGAAGTAGCCGGATATTCTTGCACTTCCTGATTTTAAATTTTGAAATAAATAATGCAATAAATATAGACTGTAAGAAATTTTGCTTATTGGAAGAAAAATAGACATCGAGAGAAATTTATCAATAAAGCCTGTAAATGTGAAGAAAAAAATTATTTTTTTAATTATAAATAAATAGTAAAATTATTATTTTTATTATAAACTTTTATCAATTTTTTATTTTTAATTATTAGTAATTTGTAATAATAATAATAATAATAATAATAATAATAATAATAATAATAAATTAATTATTTGCTTAATTTATTAATTAATTACTAATAACTGAAAATAAAAATTCATAAAAGTTTATAATAAATTAATTATTTAATTTATTATTATTGTTGCTAATTACTAATAATTTAAATTAAAAAATTAATAAAAGTTTATATAATAAAAATAATACTACTATTTATTTATTATTAAAATAATAAAAATATCAAATAAGTTATTAAAATAATTAGTTTTAAAAGAAGGAAAAAATTGTCTTATTTATTAAGAAAATTATTATTTATTTTCAAAATCATAAAACGAAAAATATTATTTAAAATTACCTCCCGCTCCATGATGACAAGCGTAAATTATCCAAGCAACGCCTGAGGCCCAAATAAAATGTCCCATCGACGCAAAAACTGTCTCTAAAGTCACATTGTACACATAACCAGGTCTCAATGTTGCCAAATGACCCCATGTGCAAAAAATGAAGCAAATTATTGCCACTGACCATCCGAAAATAACAATTTTCTAATTTAAAATGACAATAACAAAAAGAAAGAATAATTTATTACAGAAGAAAAATTATTTATTTAATTTTAATTTAATTAACAAATTGGAAAAAAATGTAATTGTTCGATTATCACAAACGTAGAGATTAGAGTCACTTTTTCTCTCAATAATAATTTAATAGGCAAAAATTTTCAAAATGCTGCGCGCGCAGAAGACGAGGAGTGGGGATAGCGAGCGCAAACCAATCCCCACTTCTCGCGTGATGCGCGCGCATAACTTCTCGGGTTTACGCTATCCCCACTCCTCGTCTTATGCGCGCGCATACTAAATTTAATAAAAACAACTCTAATTCTCTTTTTTAAGCAAAAAATAAATAAATAAAAAATAATTAAATCTACAATTCACTAATTTTTCTATCATTGAAAAAAAATTAAGAAAAAAAATAAAAAAAATCATACCCTTTTTGGTTTTGATTTTTTAGTTGCCATAATATAACCAACAAATATTCCCACAAGCCATGGACTTGCTCGACAATGTGTCACTACGTAATATTTATTCGCAGTGTCCGACATTTTTTCCAATCTGAAAAATAATTCATTAATTTAATTAATTGAATGAATAAATTTATTGAATCTAATTAATTGAATTGAGTAAATTAATTTATTTAATTTAATTAATTAAATGAATTAATTTATTTAATTTATTTATTTATTTAATTTATTTTATTTATTTAATAAATTAATTTATTTATTTTTAAAGCAATTGAAAAATGACAAAATTATTTTATTTCGGAAAAAGCAAAATAATTTTCATAAAATACAGCAATAAAAGAAAAAAAAATATTTTTTATAAATTCTTTTTAGAAAAACTTTTTTTTTTAGAAACTTGAATTTATTTAAAATTTTAACTCACAGACTAAAATTGAGAGTACTGAAGAGTAATTCGTATTTTGCGACAATTATCGCCGGCGTGGCAATCGAGGCAACAAATGCCAATCCCAAAAGGATTAATCCAATTATTGGCTTTCTCGCAAGTGGATAAATAATAAATGGCGAAAGCCAAAAGAGTTGCATGTCAACTGACAGGTACCATAAGTGACCCAAACAGAACTGTGTGAAAAAATTTTGTTTCCTTCATATTATTTATAATTAAACAAAATTTACTAATTAATTAAATAAAAAAATTTAATAATTTACGATTATTAAATAATTATTTTATAATTTATTTCTAAAATTATTATTTAATAATTTATTTCTAAAATTATTATGTAATAATTTATTTCTAAAATTATTTATAAAATTATTATTTAAAAATTTATTTATAAAATTATTATTTAATAATTTACTTATAAAATTATTATTTAATAATGTATTTATTAAATACTAATTTAAAAAATAACTGTAATTAATTAATCATAATTACTTAAATTAATGGAAATTAATTATTTACTAATTAATTGTTATTATTAATTAAATTCTTAATAATCTAATTTAATTAATCGAATTATACATTAATTAAACTATTAATGAATTTTTATTGTTAATTAATAATATTGTTTAATTAATAATAATTAATTAAACTAATAATTAATTGCTAATGAAAATATCAGTTGTTATTGTTTTTTAAGTTATTAACTAATTTATAATTTATTAAATGATAATTATTAATTAATTGATAATTTTTACTTAATTGTTATTAATAATTATCAAGTTATCATTATTGTGTTAAGTAAATTATTAATTAATTGTTATTGTTAATTAAAACATTATTTAATTGTTATATTGTTGATTAAATTATTAATTAATCGTTATTCTGTTAAATAAATGATTAATTAATTGTTTTTGTTAAATAAATTATTCATTACTTTTTTTTGTTTAATTAAATTATTAATGAATTGTTATACTATTTATTAATAATTAATTTAAGATAATGGTTTGTAATTAATTATTACCCAATTGCTATTTATTTAAATAATTAATAAATTAAGTAAAATTTAAAAAAAAGCTTAAAAAAAACTTTTAGAAATTTTTTTTAAAAATCAATTTGTTTTTTTGTGGAGGGGGAAAAATAGTGTACTAGATTTTCCGCAGGCGTTTCTCCGGCGTAATTTTGCACATAGAGAAGAATTTTCCACCAGGAATTTTCACATTTTGTCGAAACATTGGCAATAATGTCGCCCTCCCATCTTGGACCCGAACCAAGATGGGGAACAATGAAAATCGTTATTAGAACAAGGGCAGCCAACGCTGGAGTTAACCTAAAAAAAGAAAAGAAATTTAATTTTGCAAAGAAGAAGAATTTTTAGTTTTCGAATTTTTAATTTTCTTTTTTAATTTAATTTTTAGTTTAAACATTTTTTTAATTTTTAATTTTCTTTTTTAAATTAATTTTTAGTTTAAACATTTTTCGAATTTTTAATTTTTTTTAAATTAATTTTTAGTTTAAAAATTTTTCGAATTTTTAATTTTTTTTCAAATTAATTTTTTAAAGTTATATGGAAATTAAAGAAAAAGGTATATTAATTTACTAATTAAAAATAAAACCTGATATATCTGTGGAAATAAAACTCGAATATGTTGAATGTTTTACAATGAGCCATTTTCTTCAAAAAAAGATACGAGAGCAAAAAACCGCTGAGCAGAAAAAAAGTATCCACAGCATAAATTGCCAATGCAAGATAAACGCTTCTCCATGATTGCGCCCACTAATTGTAAATCTAATATTAATTAATATACATCAAGTGAACAAAAATAATTATTAAAAAAAAAATAATATCAATTTTCACATCGAAAAAAAAATTTAATAAATTTTTTTCTTCCAAACAATCATTACAATTTATTCTTGCCATCGAGTAAATTCAATTTATTCAAGAATTGTCGAAAAATAATTAAATTTACAATTGTTATTAAAGAAAAAAGTTGCGAAGTGGAGAAAACGGCGGCCATTATTCTCACCATCTCGACACTTTTTTTCTCTGTAAAAATTTACGCAGAGAGAATAAGAAAATTTTTTAATTTTCAAAAATCCCTCATTCTTATTCGATGGCAAGAGTTTTTTTTTTTTAATAAATTATTTTTTTCTCAAAAAATCTTACATTCATAAAATCAAGTGAATTGACAAATGACGTCATAACGCTAAAAAAAAGTTCGTGTCCATAAACAATCCATAATATACTTAAAGCTCGTATTCCATGAATCGAGGAAATTGTGTTGTTTTGTTTCTTTAAACTTAAAATTCTTAATGAACTATTTATCAATGAAAATTGTGATAAATGTTTAATGATATTCAAATTGTAATTTTTCGCCTCCAGCCAATTGTGCATTAATTTTAAAATTGTGCAGATCAATAGAAAGAGTAGAATTATTGACAATACTGTTCTGTAAAAGAGAAAAGTTTTATGAAAACAAAAAATTATACAGTAAAATTTTTGCAATTTTTTGGGGGAAATATTCCAGATATTATGGAATATCCGGAATATTTTTCAGATATTCCATGCTTTGTGTTAGTAATTTATTGTAATGTTAAGAATATTTTTTGACAGAAAGACAGAATTAAAATTATTTATATAGTGATTTTAACTATGCTAAAAATATTACTAGCATTTCTCTAAAATATAACTAGAATATTCTGGATATTCCTAATATTCCTGATATCTCTTAAAAAATACTGTTATTACTATTAAATATTACAATCGGTTTTAAAAAAAATTTTTAATTTTCTTATACAAATAAAATTTTGAATTTTTTTTTAGAAAATATTCCAGATATTCCATGGTGGATATTCAGATATTCCAGATATTACATGCTTCGTGTTAGTAATTTATTGTAATATTTAAAATATTTTTCGTTAGAATTAAAATTATTTATATAGTGATTTTAATTATGCTAAAAACATTACTAGCATTTCTCTAAAATATAACTAGAATATTCTGGATATTCCTAATATTCCTGATATCTCTTAAAAAATACTGTTATTACTATTAAATATTACAATCGGTTTAAAAAAAAAAAATTTAATTTTCTTATACAAATAAAATTTTGAATTTTTTTTTAGAAAATATTCCAGATATTCCATGGTGGATATTCAGATATTCCAGATATTCCATGCTTCGTGTTAGTAATTTATTGTAATATTTAGAATATTTTTCGTCAGGATTAAAATTATTTATATAGTGATTTTAACTATGCTAAAAATATTACTTACATTTCTCTAAAATGTAATTAGAATATTCCGGATATTCCTAATACTCCTGATATTTCTTAAATAATACTGTTATTACTATTAACTATTACAATCGGTTAAAAAAAATTTGAAATTCCTTTAGAATTTGATTGTAATTTTTTACCGAAAAGTATTGATGTATTCTTTTGAAATATTAGATATTCCTGTATAAAAAGACAAATACTATTCTATTGATATTCCTAGTAATTGAAATTATACTAATCTGGAATATTCCTGATATTCCATTGCGAATTTTCGATATTTCAATTACATATTACAATTATTTTTATGAAATACTACAACAATTTCTATAGAATATTTTTAATATTAGTAATATCTCCTGGAATATTCATGATATTTTAATAGATTCTATATTCTATTTTTAAACTAGTATTACGAATATTTTTATAGAATTTTATTAATATTTATATGGAATATTATTAATAATTTTATAGAATATTAATAATATTTAAATGAAATATTACTAATATTTATAAGGAATATTACTAATAATTTTATAGAATTTTATTAATATTTATATGGAATATTATTAATAATTTTATAGAATATTAATAATATTTATATGAAATATTACTAATATTTATAAGGAATATTACCAATATTTATAAGGAATATTACCAATATTTATATTGATTTATTGAATATTACTAATATTTATATCTGATATTACTTATAATTCTACAGAATATCACTAATATTAATATGGATTATTGCTCATCTTTTTGTGGAATATCACTCATTTTTCTATGGAATATTAAAAATATTTCTAAGGAATATTACATATATTGCTGTAGAAAATTGCAGATATTCATAATGTCCAATAGAGAATTATTGATACTCCAAGGAAATAATGTTGATATTCCAATGGAAAATTTGTAATATTCCAAAAAAGTAATGTCAACAAATTATTTAAATACATTTAGTGTATTGCAAACTATAAGAGATATTACTGTGAATTTCAATAATGTTTATAAGTAATAAAAATATTTAAGATATTATTATGGAATATTTCAGATATTCTTCTAGGAATTTTTAAATACTGTACTATGAAACATTTTAAATATTCTTATCAAATTATTAAGGTATTTGTATGGCATAACTAAGATATTACCAACAATTTATTTTGCAATTTTCTTATTGAATATTTTAGATATTACTATGGAATATTTAAAATATTAATATGGAATAATTAAAATATTACTATGTAATGTTTAGAATATTACTATGGAATATTTTAAAAATTAATATGAAATATTTGAGATATTAATATAAAATATTCGGAATATTTTTTACACTAAAGTGAAATATTTTAGATATTACTGTGGAATATTTTTGTCAATTTGACGAAATATTTCATACATTCATTGGGAATGTTTAAAATATTACTATTGTGTATTTTCAATATTACTATGTATTGTATAGAATATTATTACGTAATATTTGGAATATCACAATGGAATAATCAGAATATTTCTATATGTATATTTAAGGCATTGCTGTGGAATATTTCAGTTAGAACCGAAGAATATGTATCAAATTACTGTGGAATATTTGTGACATTTCTAAGGAATATTTTAGATATTAATATAAAAAATTTTCAATATTACTTTGGAATATTTTTTCCATTACTATTGAATATCTCAGGTATTAATATAAAAAATTTTTTGACATTACAATTGAGTATTTTATATATGTTAGTAATTTGAAATTTCAGATATTATTAATGATTATTTTAGATATTCCGATGGAATATTTTAGTTATTATTTATTATTATTATTATTTCATATATTATCATGGAATATTTTACACATTAGAATGGAATATTTCAGATATTATTATGGAATATTTTACACATTAGAATGGAATATTTCAGATATTCCAAAAAATTTTCTTTAGATATTCCAAAGGAATACTTTGGATATACTATGGAATATTTTATGCAGTCTAAATGATGATTTTAGTTATTTATTATATTTTAGATATTACTATTAAATATTACCTATATTACTATTGAATATTATCGACATTACTACATAATATTTTAGAAATTCTAGAAAAATATTTTAGTTATTACTATTGAAGATTTTAGATATTAGTGCGGGAAAGATATTACTATACAATATTTTAGATATTTCTCTGGAATATTTTAGATATTATTATTGAATATTTGGGAAATTAGTGCGGGAAAAGATATTACCATGTAATATTTATAATGGTATATATGAAAATTTCAGATATTACTATGAAATATTGTCGATATTACTAAATAATATTTCAGATATTCCAAAATAATATTTTTGATATTACTATAGAATGTTTTTAATACTATTAAAGAATATTTACGATATTATTAGGAAATATTTTGGATACTACTGTGGAATATTTTAGATATTACTTTAGAATATTTGGGAAATTAGTGCGGGGAAAGATATTACTATGGAATACTATCGATATTACTAAATAATATTTCAGATATTCCAAAGGAATATTTTTGATATTATTATAGAATATTTTTAATATTACTAAAGAATATTTAAGATATTACTAGGAAATATTTTTGATATTACTATGAAATATTTTAGATATTTCAATTAAAAAACAGTGTTTTAAAAGAAATATTTATCTAATATTTGTTGAAGTGAAAATTTATTAATTTTTACTTACAAAAATATAATACTTCCCGTGGAAAGTGCTTCTTTTTTTAAATGAGAGCATGTCACCATTTCTGTTTCAATATTAGTCGATTCATTGAGTCCTTTTTTATGTAAGAATTTATTTATTCCGTCAATTATATTCACAACATCATCCACATCACATGTTGAAGGTAAACACATGCCAAACGTTGGTTTTAAATCAAGTACAACATCGTGTATTACAAAATTTAATTTATAAATACAATGTCTTCCTGTGATAATAATATTTCGACTAGAATTACCACGAACTTTAATGCATTCATCGTACATTCCCAAATCGACAGCATTCCCTTCAAATAAACCAGCGGGAATTTTCGTTGATGCATCAATCACTGGAAAAGAGAATTTTAGTCTTTTTTTTGTTATTAAAAAAAATTTTTTTTTAATAATATTTAAACAATTATGTATATTTTATTTCCACTTTATTTTAGAGAACAATAGTGAGAAAAAAAATATATTAATATTTATTGTTTATAATATTATTCTATTTTTTAATTATTGTATAACAAAATACTTTTTGAATTTTCCGCAAAAATATTAATGGAATATTTATAATTTTTATGGAATATTTTTGGAAAATTTGGAAAAAATGATTTTAAAAATTGTTGAAGTAATATTTAAAGAATATTGTTAGTGTCTTATTTTAAATATGAATAAAATATTCTTTGTAATACTAATAATTTTTTTTTAATTTTGCAATATTTTAGAATACTTTTGGAATATCTTCTGACATTTTTGGACATAGTTTTATAATGTTAATGTTATATTTAAAAAAAATTTAGTGTCTTACTTTAAATATGAATAAAATATTCTTTGGAATACTAATAAGATTTTTTTGGAATATTTTAGAATACTTTTGGAATATTTTTTAACATTTTTTGACAGTTTTATAATATTAATGTTATATTTAAAAAAATGTTAGTGTCTTACTTTAAATATAAATAAAATACATTCTTTGGAATACTAATAAAATTTTTTTGGAATATTTTAGAATACTTTTGGAATATCTCTTGACATTTTTGGACATAGTTTTGTAATTTTAATGTAACAATTTAATAATTGTTAGTGTCTTATTTTAAATACAAATAAAATATTCTTTGGAATACTAAAACTTTTTAGAAAACGTTAGAATACTTTTGAAATGCTTTGAGAAATTTTTGGAAATAATCTTGGAATGTTAATGTAATATTGAAATAATTATTACTGTCAAATTTTAAATATAAATAAAATACTATTTGGAATACTAATAAAAAAAATTTTTTATAATATTTTGGAATACTTTTGGAATATCTACTGACATTTTTGGACATAATTTTGAAATATTTTCTTGGAATGTTGATATAGATATTAGAAAATTCTTGGAGGATAGTTATAATTGTAAATAAAATATTTTTTTATTTAGAAAATATTATTAAAATATGAACAGAATACTTTTGGAATATTTGGAATAGTTTTCGAATATTAATATAGTATTCAAAGAATTAGGCGTAGCATTTTTTAAAAATAAATCATTCTTAGAAGTTATAAGGAAAATATTTTTAGAATATTTTGAATACTTTTAGAGCATTTCTAAAATTCTTAAAGTGGCTTATTGTAAATATTAATAAATTATTATTTGGTATATTAACAAAATTTTTTTAAAAAAATTCATGGAATACTTTTGGATTATTTTTAAAATTTGTTTCGATGTATTTTAGGAGAATTTTTGGAATATTGTATTTTACACATAAATATATTGTAGAAATAATTTTAGACTATGAAAACAATTTTTTTTTTTTTTTTTTTTTTTTTTTTTTTTTTTTTTTTTTTTTAAATATTCATTACACATTATCTACTGGAACATTTATAATCAATAAATAGAAATAGAAATAAAAATAAGAATTTTCTTAAAATTTAAATTTAAATTTATTTAACTTTTTGAAAAAAAAATTTTTTTTTTAATTTATTTTTTAAATTATTATTATTTTAAATAAAAATATTTTAATATCCTACTATTTAATGCCCATGGGGTCATGCGTTCTATTTCTTGAGATAATGATAAAAGATCTTTCGTACAATTATTAAATACGAATTTCGAATAATTTTCCAAATAATTCCTCGAATCTAAACTATTGAATATTAATTGTATGTTTGCATTATTTGAAATTCTATCAATTTTTTTATCATACAATAAATTTCCGGTGACATTGGAAATTAGACACAGCACTATTAATTTTATCACAAGAATTGAAATATTTTTCAAGAAATGCATTTTTCTTCTTTCTCTCTGTCCCTCTTTCTTTCTCTTTCTATCACACACACACACACTTTTTTTCAAATTTAAAAACTTATTAACACAATCATATCAATAATTGTGAATTAAAAAAAAAAAATTATTAAATTTTTTTCTTAAAAAAAAATTAACTTTCATCACAACGAGTTACTTTTTTATGATAAGGACATTACTCTAACGAGATATCGAAATTGAGATAAAAATAATAATCGAATCTCTGTCTCAATCAATCTTCTAAAGATTATAATTATTGACGATTGACAAGTATTTTTTATTTAAATAAATACAATCTTTGTTCAGAAGTAAAAAAAAAATTTTCATTTTAATATGAAAAATTTTTATATTGAATAATTATTTAATTAATTTCATAAATTTTTAATGAACTAATTAAGTAAATTACTTAACTAACTAATTAATTAATTAATTAGTTAATTAATTAGTGCAATTTCTTAACTAATTAGTTAATTGATAAGTTTAATTACTTATCTAATTAGTTAAATTACTTAATTAATTAGTTTAATTACTTAATTAATTAGTTAATTGATTAGTTAGTATTGTTCAAATTACTTAAAAAGTTGAGAGTTTATTAATAAATTTTTTGTTTTATTAAAATTACAAAATTAATTATAAAAAAATCTTTATGTAAATTCTCATTAACATAAGTCTTGAAGTAAAAAATAAACAGTACCTAATTTTATCTTTTTTGATATTGGGGCAGCTCCATACGAAAAGCAAATGGTGGATCACCGATTTTTCTTAAAGTTTGTAATTTTGTAGTACTTGGGGTACTAAATAACTGTGCCAAACAGTTTTGCAAAAAAAAAATTTTTTTGCAAGATATTTAGATTTGAAAAATCGGAAACTGAAAAAAATGACTTTTTTTGAGAATTTTTATTTCGAAAACTATTGATTCTACAAGAAAAAGTCATTTGTTCAAAATTGTAGAGAAAATGTCAATTTTTTATAATATTAAAAAAAAGTTTAAAAAAATTAATTTTTCAATAATTTGTTTAAACAATAATTTTTTATTGTTAAAAAAAAGAGCAAAGGACATCATGGAATTTTCTAGAAAAATTATTTTCTCAAAATTTGAACCTTCCTTAATAAGTGGTTAAATTTTTAAAGAAGTGCTTTTTGATGTTTTTGAGAAAAAAATTTTTGAAGTTTGCGCTACGAGTTTTTGTGCGTTGCGCTAACTAAGCAGCGCCTATATCAGTGTATTTTAAAAGATGATAAGACCTTTACTGCTCGCCCCTAATACATTTATTAATTATATACGTATATATTATTATTATAAACAGTTTAATAATATATTTTTAACTTTTTTATAAACATTATTTTCCTTTTTTAATCCATTAATGCCCATGGGCACAGGAACGCAGATATAAAAAGTAACTATTGAGATCCTGGTATTGGGTCTAATGATAATTTTTGACGTTAAAAATTAAAAAAAAAAATTTTTTGTAACAATTTGTTATAAACAAATGAAAAAAATTGATTTTCTTTAAAAATTGATAGCGCCATTCGATTCGACGCAAAAAACTACTACGAAAACGTATATTACATAATTTTTAAAAAAAGACATTATGGTTGTCAAAATTATATAAACAATTAGCCTGCATTTATACTGTATTAGATAGAATGATCGTTTTTTAGGTAAAAATTTTGTTTAAAAAATTTTTAACGTCAAAAACTCTCCTTATTAAACTAATTTTGTTTAAAAAAATTTTTAACTTCAAAAACAATCATTCTATCTAATACAGTATAAATGCAGGCTAATTGTTTATATAATTTTGACAACCATAATGTCTTTTTTTAAAAATTATGTAATATACGTTTTCGTAGTAGTTTTTTGCGTCGAATCGAATGGCGCTATCAATTTTTAAAGAAAATCAATTTTTTTCATTTGTTTATAACAAATTGTTACAAAAAATTTTTTTTTTTTAATTTTTAACGTCAAAAATTATCATTAGACCCAATACCAGGATCTCAATAGTTACTTTTTATATCTGCGTTCCTGTGCCCATGGGCATTAATGGATTAAAAAAGGAAAATAATGTTTATAAAAAAGTTAAAAATATATTATTAAACTGTTTATAATAATAATATATACGTATATAATTAATAAATGTATTAGGGGCGAGCAGTAAAGGTCTTATCATCTTTTAAAATACACTGATATAGGCGCTGCTTAGTTAGCGCAACGCACAAAAACTCATAGCGCAAACTTCAAAAATTTTTTTCTCAAAAACATCAAAAAGCACTTCTTTAAAAATTTAACCACTTATTAAGGAAGGTTCAAATTTTGAGAAAATAATTTTTCTAGAAAATTCCATGATGTCCTTTGCTCTTTTTTTTAACAATAAAAAATTATTGTTTAAACAAATTATTGAAAAATTAATTTTTTTAAACTTTTTTTTAATATTATAAAAAATTGACATTTTCTCTACAATTTTGAACAAATGACTTTTTCTTGTAGAATCAATAGTTTTCGAAATAAAAATTCTCAAAAAAAGTCATTTTTTTCAGTTTCCGATTTTTCAAATCTAAATATCTTGCAAAAAAATTTTTTTTTTGCAAAACTGTTTGGCACAGTTATTTAGTACCCCAAGTACTACAAAATTACAAACTTTAAGAAAAATCGGTGATCCACCATTTGCTTTTCGTATGGAGCTGCCCATTGATCACATTATTATATCAGTATAGGAATTTTATTTTTATTATTTGCAAATCATCAATGATATGTATTTTCCTTATTTATATTACATAAATCAAATAATTTTTAAAAAATGAGGAATTATTATTATTATTATTATTATTATTATTTATTTTAATAAATAAGAAAAATTTCATGCCTTGCCCCTGAAAGTAGACTAACCATTAAGCACTGTTGCTGTTCGTTCAGAGAAATATAATCAAATTGCGCCTGACAAGAGGCAACTTTTCTATTTTTTAAGTCTTCTATAGTTTTCAATTAAAACGTCTGTGAGTTAAAAATAGGTCTAATTTGACCTTAATTGTGACCTAGGGTATAACGACCTTCAAGAGAATTCTTATGGAGCTTTTTTGAAGTGTAGGTTAAAAAAAAAGGTCAAATCTGACCTAAATTTTGACATGGAGTTATCTTAAATATACTATAGAGGTCCCTTAGAAAAATAATAATTATATTTAATTATTTATAAAATATTTAATATATTTATGGAACAAATATTTGACTGACCTAAAATAACCACAAATTTTTGACACGTGTACGTTAATAAGTATATAGATATTTTTAATAATCTTAATTCTTTATTTTTTTTTATCACAAAATGTTAAAATAATATTTTAATAATCCAATATGTCGAGCATTTTGAATTTTGAAAATATTATTTTGAATTTGAATTTTAAAACTATTAAGATCTTATTTACGTTGAACATTTTTCTTAATGTCACATATTAAATTTATAAAAATAAATTTTAATGGAAATATATATATTTTTTTTGCTTCGACTGCAACAAATATTGATACTTGGCAAATAAGAAGCGGACTAGACTATAAAAGAATTAAGAAAAAAAATGTTCAAATTATATACAAACAGACAACAGTCATATTTATACGTATAGCAATTTTTTTTTAAATTTTTTTTACATTTTATTGTAATAAAAATGTTTCTAAAATTATTGGGAAAATCATCTGCCTTTGGTAATAATATAATTTTCCAAATTTTCTATTCTCAAAAAAATGAATGTAAAAAATTACACTTCTTTTTCAATATAATTGTTATTTTTTAACTAATTTTATGCAAATTCTAATAATTAAATTCTAATAATTAAATAATAATTTTTTTGAAAATAATTGAATTTCTAAAAAGCATTTTATTATTTATAAAAATAATTGAATTCTTGCGAACAATTTTATTAGAATTTTTAAAAAAAATTGAATTTACCAAGAAAAAATTTATTACTTTCAAAAATAATTAAATTTTTGTGATGAATATTGTTATTTATCCTTAATAATTGAATTCTTTCGAGGAATTATTTATGTAAATAATTGAATTCTTGAGAAGAATTTTATTAAAATCTAAAAGAATAATTAAACTATTTCAAAAAAAATTTAATTTAAATTATATTTAAAATAACTGATTTCTACCAAACAATTTTCTTAAAATATTTAAAAATAATTGTATTTCTGTGAAAAATTCTTATATTTTTTTAAATAATTGAATTCTTTCAATGAATTTAAAAAAAATAGATTTTTTTATATAATTCATTTTTTTGAGGAATTGAAATTAAAATGTTAATAGTAATTACATTTTTTGAGCAATTCCTGTAAATTTCTATTAAAAATAATTGAAATCCTGCGATAAATTTAATTATTTATAAAAATAATTAAATAGTTGCAAAGAATTTTATTAAAATTTTCAAAAATAATTGAATTCCTGAGAAGAATTTTATTATTTTTGAAAATAATTGTATTATTGCGAAAAATTTAATTAAAATTTTTAAAAATAATTGAATTCCTGAGAAGAATTTTATTATTTTTGAAAATAATGGTATTATTGCGAAAAATTTAATTAAAATTTTCAAAAATAATTGAATTCCTGAGAAGAATTTTATTATTTTTGAAAATAATTGTATTATTGCAGAAAATTTTATTAAAATGTTTAAAAAAAGAATTGAATTTCTGTGAACAATTTTGTTACTTTTAAAAATAATAATTGAATACTTTGTAAGAATTTTCTAAACATTGTTTTAAATAATTAATTTTCGTAATTATCGTAATTGAATTATTGTGAAGAATTGTATAAAAATTTTGTTAAATAATTGATTTTTTTGACATTTTTTTTGAAAATTTTATTCTAAATTAATTGAATTTCTGTGGAAGTTTTATTATTTATGAAAATAATTGAATTTTGAATGAATTTTATGAATTGAATTCTTTTGCGAAATTTTATGAAAATACTAGATATTGAAAATAATTGAATTTCGAATAGTTTTTGAAAATAATTGAATTTTGAATATTTTTTGAAAATAATTGACTCCTTTCAAAGAGT